TCTCAAAAAGAATGTCCATGGTCTCCCTCACTACATTCACATTGGTTGAGTCTCCTGGCAACCCAGCACCACGACTACCTGCCATAGGGGCAACCTCTCTCAGTCCAAGGAGGTGGAGAACCATGGTTTCTTCATATTATTTACCAGGGCCATAATTCACAGGCATCAATTTTTCTTTAGTTTTCCTAGTTCATTGTCTAACTTTCACATGCATATGTTTTGTTAGATGCCATTGAGTTGACTATGAATCACAACAACCTTAAGAACAACAGTTCTGAAACTTGCCCTATCTGCAACATCCTCACAATAGCTGCCGTGCTCAAGCCCATTGCTGCAGTCACTGTGCCAATCTATCTTGTTGAGGGTCTTCCTCTTGTTCTCCAACTCTTTACTCTTCCCAGTATGTTGTCTTTTTCCAAGAAGTGGACGATCCTGACAACATGTCAAGGTATATGGGATCTCACCATCTTTGCTTCCAAGGAGCATCTGGTTACTCTTTCTCTAGGACAGATTTATTTGTTCTTCTGCAATCCATAGTATATGCAATACTATTCTCCAACATCACAATTCAAAGGCATCAGTTCTTCTTTGGTCTTCCTTATTTATTGTCTAACTTTCAGATGCATAAATAATTAATTGAAAATGCCATGGTTTGGAACAGGCACATCTTAGTCTTTAGACTAGTATCCTTGCTCTTTTGCATTTTAAATATAACTTTGACAACAGCTTTTTCCCAATGTTATTTATCTTGTTTTCTTGACTGCTGCTATCATGAGTATTTGATTATGGATCCAAGTAAAATTAAATCATTGGCAACTTCAATCTTTTCTCCATTTGTCTTGATGTTACCTATGGAGAACATCAGAAAAGATGTTAATCAGGATTATATCTTTTCTCCCTACCTATTCAGTCTGTATGCTGAGCAAATAATTTGAGACACTGGACTATGTTATTGTTGTTTGTGCTGTCAAGTTGCTTGTGACTCATAGTGACCCTAAACCCTGCTTATCCTGTGCCAACCTCATTGTCTCTGACACACATATTCCCACTACCCAAATCACTGAATCAATCCTTCTCATTGAGGGTCTTCCTCTCCCGCGCCATCCCTCCACTCTTCCAAACATGATGTCTCTCTCCAAGGACTGGTCCCTCCTTGGAACATACCCAAGGTATGTTAGGGGAAGCTACAGAATCTTTGATTCCAAGGAGCAGCCTGGCTTTACCCTCTCCAGGACAAACCTGTTTGTTCTCCTAGCAGTCCATGGTATATTCAACACTCTTCTCCAACTCCCCAGTTCAAAGCCATTGATTCTCTTTCTATAATCCCTAGTAACTGTCCAGCTCTCCAATGCATAGCATGCAATTGTGAACACTATAGCTCGGATCAGGTGCACCTTAGTCTCCAGCCTGACATCGTTACTCTTCAGTACTCTGGAGAGGTCCCTGACAGCTGACTTTCCCAATGCAATTTGTCTCTTGATTTCCTGGCTGCTGGTACCAAGAGTGTTGACTGGAGCCAAGTAAACTAAAACTGTTAACTATCCCAATCTCTTCACCATCCATACTGATGCTGCCAATTGGCTCAGTGGTGAGAATCTTTGTCTTCTTGATGTTAAGCTTCAAACCATATTGAAGGCTGCAGTCTTTGACCTTCTGCAGCAAGCCCTTCAGATCCCCCTCAGTTTCAGCAAGCAGGGTTGTGTCATCTGCATAACACAAGTTGTTGATGAATCTTCCACCAATCCTGATGCCACATTCCTCCTCGTACAGCCCAGTGTCCTGGATGATCTGTTCTGCATACAGATTCATGAAGAAGAATATGGCATCAGGACTGGAGTAAAGATGCAGCAATAAATTGTGTCGTGCAGATGACACAATTTTCCACGCAGACAGTAAGAAAGACTTTAAGTCCTTACTGAAGAAGATCAAAGACTACAGCCTTCAATATGGATTATATATCAACATCAAAGAAAAAAGTTCCTTGCCACTCAGATATGGATATGAGGTGACTGATAATACCATAGCTTGATTCAGGTATGTTAGTCTTTAAAGTGACATCCTTGTTCTGTATTTTATTTCTATAAACATTTTATTTTACTCATTCATTGTTGCACATTTCCCCTCCTCTCCCTCCCTATCCTTTTTCTTTAGAGAATGTTAAAAAGATCCTTTACAGTTGCAGAGTGGAGTATACTCGGGGTAGTGGTGGGGTAAGGGGGGGGGGATTGTATACCAATGAAGGAATTTTACTTTTCAAAGAGAAAAGCGAACTGGGGTTGGAGGCAGAGAGAAATGAATGGATGGAAATCCAAAATATCTATAAATGTTCATTGAAATTAATAATGATAAAAAAGAAAAAAGATCCTTTACAGTGTATATGCCCTTTTAATATGCTCAGTTTGTTGACTCTCAATGTTTTGGACTCAAGTAAGAAATAATTCTTGACAACTCTAACCTTTTTTCCATTTATCATAATGTTGCTAATTGGTTCAGTTGTGAGAATTTTTGTTTTCTTTACATTGAAGTGCAATCTGTAATGAAGCTTCTATTTTTTCAGCTGTGTCAGAAAGTGCTTCAAGTCTTCCTTGTCAATAAGCAAGGTTGTGCCATCTGCCCATCACAGCTTATTAATTGATCTTCCTCTAAACTTGATGCTGTGGTCTTCTTTCTTAGTCTAGCTTCTTCAATTATTTGCTCAGCATAAAGATAGAATAGATATGGTGAAAAGCTACAAACCTGATGCACCCTTTCCCTCATTTTAAACCACACAATATCCCCTTGTTCAACATGAGCACATTAATACATTCTGGAATTTCCATTCTTTAAAATGTCATCCACGATTTGCTATGATTTGTTATGAGTTTAGAGACCAGCTCAAGAATAGTTTTGATGGATTGAACACTAATGACCAAAGACCAGATGAGTTGTTGGGTGATATCAAGAATATATTAGACTAATAAAGCAAGAAGTGATTTGAAAGATAGGGAAAAAGAAGACTGAGATGGATGTCAAAACAATGTGAAACTCACTCTAGAACATAGAGAAGTGAAAGTGAATGGAAGAGATGATGAAGAGAGCCAAAGTGAAGATTTCAAAAGGTGTCTTGAGAAAACAAAACAAAGCGCTATAAGGAAATGTGTAGACTAGAGATGTCAGAAAACACACAAGGAACAATCAAATCCTTTCTCAAGCTAAAAGAACTAAAGGAAAAAAATCCAAGCCTTCATTTGTAATACTGAAGGAAGCATCAAAAGGATATGGAATACACAGTAAATGTGCCCAACCATTTCAGAAGGTTGCATATGCCAGTGGTACTGAAGGAAGAAATCCAAGCTGCACTAAAAGCACTGACAAAAAATAAGATTGCAAGAATTGACAGAATACCAATTATTTCTACAAACTATTGCAGCACTGGAGATGCTCACTCATTGTAAAGAGTGCAGGGCATGAGGGTCAACATCTGACCTCTATTAACTTCATGAGTGGCAAGAATCCTTATTAGCATTAAGGACTCAAAACTGCTTCCTATGAGACAAGACATGCCCCCACACTCCACACTCCAGACTCTTCATCTATTTAATTTCAACGTCAAACTTCTCTTCTACCACACTCACTACTTCTCTTCTGAGTTTAATAATTTGTTGCAAAATTCATACAGAACTCACAGGTAATACTCATGATTATGGGGCTTATTGGCTTAGCAGCATTCAAGATACAATTCTTTGCTTCTGCTTTGTGGTCCACCCTCTTGCCTGCTCAGACAAGCATTACAAAGCACTTTTAGTGCTCCCAATTAGGTGCCCAGTGGAGCCTCCATTCTGTCATTAAGCTTAAACTTGAAGGTGCTCCACTCTGTCTCTGTGGGTTAGCAGACTGAGCTCCCTGACAAATACCTGAAGGCACTCCAACCTGCTAGTAAGCACTCAGTTTTTCACCCAGTGATCTGAGAGTCCTCAACTCTGCTTTATGCTTGTCTCTGGTTTCTTTCCAATTCTACCGCCCCCTGCTGGGTAGCACCTAAGAGAAATTAAAACATACATCCACATAAAAAGTTGTACATAGATGTTCATAACAGCTTTATTTATAATAGCTAAAAACTATAAACAACCCAAATGATTAATAGATAAATTAATTATAGTGTATCTAACCATGGGGCTACTGCTCAGGAATAAAAATCAACTATTGATACTTGATCTATTGAAACTACATGATGAATCTCAAAAGAATTGCACTGAGTGAAAGAAAGCATGCTCAAGAGTTCATATTATGGAATTCTACTCCTATGATGTTCTACCACATAGAAAATAACAAATATTTGCAGAAAGCAAATCACAGTTGCCTGGATCCAGGGATGGGAGTAGGTTGGGTGGGATTGACCGTAAAGGGGTGTGAGGGACCCTTGCAATATGTTGGAATCTTTCTGTATCCTCATTATAGTAAAGATTACATGGATGTAGTCTGGAGAATGCACTGATTTACTGTTTGGCCTTGAACAAATCATACCGCCTCTTAAGGGCCTCAGTTTCCCTATATGTAAAAGTTGATTGTTGGAGTAGATGTTGCCTAAGATTCTTTTCCCCCCTGGCTCAAAACTTCCCTTGTTATATCAGTGGCATAGCTACCAGCATCATAGCATCATGCAAATGGCTGTAGTACAACAAGCTGGCAGATGGGTAGCGTGAACACAGCACTTGTTAAGACTTAATGACTTTTGTCAGTGATGCAGCTGATGATGAAGCTGACACTCTTTACCATCATTTCCAGGCTTAGGGAGTTTGTGGGGGGAAAATGAAAAATCTGCAGTGTTACTGTAGTAATCTCTGCTATGAGAAGAATACAAATAATAAAATCTTACACTAATAAAAAAGGTAAACAAGTATGGGAGCTCCGAGTATGGTGTGGGAGGAGGACAGGGCAGATTCAACTGGAGCACAGAACTTCGTAGGGGCTGGAACTCTGCGGCCACAACAGGCTGCTGATCTGTGTATTTATGTCTCTAGGTCATGAAAACTTACCACATGTACCATGCAGAAAGCATCAGCGCCGAAAGCAAGCTGAAGGAGGCTGAGAAGCAGGAGGAGAAGCAGTTCAACAAGTCAGGAGATCTCAGCATGAACCTGCTACGGCATGAGGACCGGCCCCAGCGTCGCAGTTCTGTGAAGAAGATTGAGAAGATGAAGGAGAAGGTGAGTGGGGGCTCCAGGTAAGAAGGGGACAGCCATGCTCCTCACAGAAAGCCTTCCAAAAATCCTTCTCTATGGCTGTGGCTTTGGTGTGGACAGAAACTCCCTTGGTGGTTAGTGTTTTGCAGGAGGGAGGGCTGACCTTGCATCTGGGTATGAGGCCAGTTAACAGGTGCAGAGAGAAGCTCAGCTGACCAGAGAGTGGGGTGCTGTGGAAACTCCTTAGTCAATGGAGTCTGGTCTTATTACAGAAGTCAGTTGGTGGCTGGAGTGTTAGTTGTGACAGAATGTGTCCCACCAGGAGGGAACAACCCTAGTATTCCAGTTAGTGCAAGAGAATCTGGTAAAGGGTCCATTCCGGAATTGTCATTTCAAACCAAAGACAGATTCAAGGCCACTCAGTGGAGCTTCAAAATAAAGGTCTGGTGATCTCCTGAAAAACTGAACCACTGAAAACTCTACAGAAAACAATTGATCATGGGTTCTTCATGAGTTGGAGTTGAGTCAATGGTAACTGGTTAGGGTATGATGAAAGGGGTGCTAGTTTTGGAGTTAAGCTGGATTTTAAATAAAACTAGTCCTCAACACATGATGCTGGATTTGAAAATATGGATAGCACCCTCCTTAGGATGCATTTGAGTTACGGTAAACCATACTTAAAACTGTCCATTTTAAAAAATTATATCTTAGAACTAGTAATATGTTGCAGCACATCACAGATGTTCAATTTTAAGGTTTACTATCCAGAACGCTACTGGTTTTATAAAGATATTGTTGTTATTATGTGCCGTCGAGTCGCCTGCGACTCATAGCGACCCTATATACAATAGCCCTAAACTCTACTCTGTCCTGTGCCAATCGCACTGTCTCTGACAGTCCCATCCTGATTACCCCAGTCACTGAATCAATCCACCTCATAGAGGGCCTTCCCCTCCTGTGCTGTCCCTCCACTCTCCCAAGCATGATATACTTCTCCAGTGACTGGTCTCTCCTCACATGTCTAAAGTATGTTAGACGGAGCTTCAGAATCCTTGCCTCCAAGGAGCCACCGGTTTAACCCTTTCCAGGACAAATCTGTTTGTTTTCCTAGCAGTCGATGGTATTTTCAATACTCTTCTCCAGCACCACAGCTCAAAGGCATTAATTCTCCTTCTATCCTCCTTGGTCATTGTCCAATTCTCTGATGCATAACAAGTGACTGCAAAGACCGTGGCCTGTATCAGATGCACCTTAGTCTCCAGAGAGACACCATTACTCTTCAGTACTTTGGAGAGGTCCCTAACAGAAGACTTTCCCATGGCAATGCACCTTTAAATTTCCTGGCTACTGGTGCCAAGAGTGTTGACTGTGGAGCCAAACAAACTAAAGCTGTGAACAATCGCAATCTCTTCACTATCCATCCTGATGCTGCCAATTAGTCCAGTGGTGAGAATCTTTGTCTTCTTGACATTGAGCCTCAATCCATATTGGAGGCTGCAGTCCTTGACCCTCTGTAGCAGGTGCTTCAGGTCCTCTTC